ATATTCAAACACATTTCAGACAGACAGACAGACTGACAACTAATAAAGAATGAGGCAGATAATCCTATCTGAAAGAGTTAAAGGGTAGAATATTGTGGCAGTTAAACTATTGGAGTTTTAGCTGGATTTATAAAAATGATGTATTTTGAGGGCTACCTGTTACCATTCTGCTAGTGAAATGGATTTTTAACTTTCTGAATTTTCTTCTAGCTGTAGGAAGTTATGTATGGAACCTTTGTACATAATAACCCTTGTTATTATGGCCAAGGATCATGTGTGAATATTCTGTCATTCACCTGCTCAGACATTTCTCCTGGGCATCAATTCAATTACTAAAGAAGATATTGTGTGGAAACTTCTCCCACTGGACATTTTTTGAGTGGAAATTTAGGTAGCTAAGGGGACTTTAAAGTGATGGAAAGATTATGATGAAATAACAGTCACAATAATAGCATTCTTGTCATTACTCAAGTAATCTTAGAGATCGAAAAAAATACTCAAAGATCTTAATATCAGGTATGAAAAATGGAATACTAATCTGTAGGCATATTTTGGCATGATTCTTCATATATCAAATCTAAGGCATATGCAAAGTGGGACGCGGCAGGGATGAGCAGCAGTAGGAAGCCACATTGCCCAAAGAGTAGTTCTAGATTTGGGTAAGAAGATTCTTCTATGCACTGAAGCTTCACAGAACTTCAATTCAAAGCTAGACTTTATCTCAGAACATCCTGTTGTTTCATGCCTTATAAGAAAGGAGAACTATGTTTTTATGTTATCCTTGGCCAAAATGATTTATTTTTCATAACTGTTAAGATCAGAACACTGCTAATGGTTGTTTTTTCTACTTCTCATTCTGAGAGCAGAATGACAACTAGTGACATAAAGAAAACACAAACACAATAGTGTCAAGGTACACCCACCACATGCTGCCTGGTTAATGCATAACTCCAGGAAATGAGCAGAGTCATTTCAGTCACACTCTTCATTGGAACAGTAATAACCCATGGGTCCATTTTCCCTAAAAGCCCTAGAGGCAGAACAAAATATCCTGTCAAAATGTATCAACACAGTGGAACAAGGAAAAGAGAGAGAGAGAGAGAGAGAGAGAGAGAGAGAGAGAGAGAGAGAGAGAGACTGTATACAATCAGATGATCCGCTAAAAAATGCTCACACTGAATACACACTATGAATGCTGTTGTTTTTTACAGTCAATGTTCAGCAATTTTTAATAAAGATGTTTGTTCTCAGAGTTTTGTTTATCCATTTGTCCCACTATTTTACTTGCACAATCTGCAAACCAGTGTAAATTTCAACAGAATAGAAAGCAAATGATATTACATACTGGAATAAAGAGGCAAGACAAAGTAAGCAGATTCAATTTCTTAAGCATTGTTAAACAATATTTGCTGTGATGATGAGTTTTTCAGGAGAGTCACTTCTGAAGAATCTGCTGAGCAATTGTATTTGCTTATAATTTGGACAAACTTTTCTCTGATGTGAGTTAGAAGTAAAAGAAGACAGCCCTTCTTTCAATGGATTTTACCTCTTCAAATATTGATAAAACTTCGCTGACAAACTTCTCTCAGCCCTAGAATTCAGGTGAGGTGAGAGTAAATGCAGTAAATTTGGGGAACAGTAGAATGCCTCATGATGCTTAGCTAAGATCTACCACTGCAATTTTTCCACTGCCAAAATGTGAGCTTAAAAATACAACTAGGACTATATACACTTTTACTAAAATATAAATAAGAAAAAGCAAAGCTATCTTATGCTCCAGTTCTCATTTTATTGTTGATTATTTGCCATCAAGTTGTTGTCCACTTTTAGCAACCACATAGATAGATTTTCTCCATGATGATCATCTGTCCCTAGTCTGATCTTTTAGGTCTTCCAGTGGTGCATCCATTTCTACTGTAACTGAAGCCACCACCCACCTTGCTGCAGGTCAACATTTCCTCTTTCCTTCCATTTCTCCCAGCATGAAGGCTTTCTCCAGAGAGCTGAATCTTTTCATACGGTGCATGAAGTAGGATAATTTGAGCTTGGTCATTTGTGCCTCAAGAAAGAACTGATTTGATTTGTTCAATGATTCTCATTTTACTAACCCTAAATTTGTTCATTTCCATATCAATAAATATTTTGTTCCCCCCCCAAAAAAATGTACCAACCAATTCATTTGTACTATTGTGCTCGTGCATATGTATTGTAATATTTGTATTTTTGTATACACATAACCTGTTCTTCATTTTTTCCTAATGTCTCTAATGTGATTTCCGATACATGTAGTTACATATTTTTATTGAAGAGCTGTACACTTTTTGAATTAGAAAGGTCCGAGGGCTCAGATTATGGTGTATTACTTTCAGTTTGTATGGACCCATTTAATAAGTGAAGCAAATAAATACTTTTCTTGAATATAAAAATAGTCTTGCCCTCTGTGCCATATCTTCTAGATACTTAGCTGATATTGAAGAGAATTTTCTCCTTGATATTACTTGTCCTGTGGAATAATTTTTGCCTGTGTTATACTAAACCATTAGAGAGACATGTTGTAGGAGTCTTCTGAAAAACAAACTTTGTAAATTGGTCTTTCCCAAACATTAAATTGTTCCCCCTGACATTTATATTTAATAACCTGCCTTTATTTTGTTTTTTAATTGTATTTATAAATCACTACAGATTTTTTTTCCTGTGCATCTGATAGAAAAGCCACTTTTAAAAATAAACAATTAAATGAGAAACCACAAATTATACCCAATTCCTAGACACATTAGTATTAGGATGGGGACTTGTACTGTTACCTGTGATATTAGTCTCAGTTGTTATTGTAATCACCAAGACAAGAACATTGTACCATCATTTGTTTGGAAATATTCCCCTTTTTTAATAATACTTTTTAAAATTAATTTTATTATATGTGTTCTTATTCATCATTAGATTATGTGCAGTGCATTTTTATATATATTTATGTATGTAAGTAGCCTACAACTGAATATTTTACTGTGATTTGATATTGTAATCACCAATTTCACAAACAAAGGAAAACCCAGAAATCCAAAGTGGGCAGAACCAAATTGAACTAGACTTGTACCATCTGATAAAATAACATTTCATCCACATGCAGAACAAAAAGTAATCAAACAATTCTGTGATAACTTGCAATACAACACCAACGATATCATACTAATTATCACAGTCTGGAATGCTAACTATGGAAGTAAAATAGCAGTTTGACTACTAGGTTAGAGCCAGGCATGATTGATAATAAATTTAAATGGGTCCTAGAATATATCTATTACTAACAATAAAGCTACACAAGTTGGTGAAAAAGCATTTAAAATGTTTAAAATCTTGTGAACTGATGCAGTTAAAGTGTCACTCTGAAGTTTGTAAGCAGAAATGGAAAAAATATATGAGTTGAAAATATAGTGGAAAAGATCACCTTATATTTCAATACCGAACATAACATTACATTACTAACAAAACCTGCAAATGACAGATGCCTCCAAGTCATACAGTAAATATCTGTATGACTTGGAGGCATAATAAAGATATCACTTTATTATCTCTATATTATCTCTGAAAAAATCTATTCTCTAACTTTGGCTTTTGCATATAGAACCTTTGGGGTGATCAACAGGCCACACTTTCCATATACTAACCCCCCCCCAAAACACACACATAGGTAGTTCCTTTCTGGTATGAAATTGTTTCATGCTATCTGTGATCTGAGAACATAGATAAAAATGGCTGCATCAATTTATTATTGTTTACAACATGCTCTGATAACTGGCATATTTCCATTCATATAATTATGACAAGATGTTTGCTCTTAAAAGTAATTTCTAATTTACTAAACATGTTAAAATCCCACAGCTGCTTACTAACTTGCACATATATTTACTGCTGCAATTTATAAATTTACCTGATGTTATGAAATAATCCTTTCATTGCTTTTATTAAAGAATTATCTCATCATCAAGCCAAATAAAATATAAACAAAGATGCACTAGTGGTTAATGGATGGACCTGATTATACAATAAAAACAGATTAAAAGACCACTGAATTTCTTTTTCCCATCTATTTCTCATTAAATATTCTATAGAGAAAGAAAGCAGCAAGAGTGTTTGTTTTCTTATCTCTTGCACTGTACTTGCCAAAAAGGATGATTGAAAATTGGTATGAAGATCATTTTCTTTGGTATCTGATATAAATGGACAATAGCTGAATTCTTGTTTATAAAACAAGAAATAATGAACTGGGTGGGGATTTACTTATACAATATCTGGTAGTATTAAAAAAAATCCTAAGAAAGAAAGGAAGGAAGGAAGGAAGGAAGGAAGGAAGGAAGGAAGGAAGGAAGGAAGGAAGGAAGGAAGGAAGGAAGGAAGGAAGGCTTTCCAGATTTTATGCTTAGATTTCATCCATACTGTTTTATAGCAAGCAAAAGAAACAAAACCTGTTTTAACCCAAGACCATCATCCATGCTGGGGAATAGCAATTAATAGCACAAATTCAACATTTCATTACAAGGCCATGTAGCTTGAGGTGCTTTCTACTAAATGTATGGTATATACAATATCTATGAAGGTCTTTTTCTGTCTTTATAATTTCATAGATTATATTCATAGTAGTAAATATATGCATAGCCAGAAAATTTTCTAGAATTTTTTTAAAAAATTCCATTTTCAGACCAAGAATAATAACTTTATTGTCACGTTGAAGGTACACTAATCGGAATACATTAAAATGAAATTTCATTGCATACAGCTCTCAAAAGGTCACCACCTCCAATATACACTACACAAATATGACAAAAATAAATAAATATACCCACATATATTATATGATGCAGAGAAACAACACAATCTAGTTCAGATTATGTATACATGTGCATGGCGAGAAAAATGAATCTTGTGAGTTTACTAGATGGATGGTATAGGAAACAAAGCTATTACAGAATTGGGTAGTCCTGCTAGAAATACTTCAAAATCTCCTCCCAAAGGGGAACAACAGAAACAGACCATAAAGTGGGAGCTCTAAGCACATAGCGCTTATAAGCAGCATCCTGAATACCAGCAAGTATACCAGCTTCCTACAATCTTCTCAGCTGTCCTTACTACTCTTTGTGTGGGCTTTCTATCTGAGGCACTGATGCCACCAACCAGACAGTAATACAGTTTGTTAAAATGCTCTCAATTGTGCTTCTGTAAAAAGTGGCCAGGACAGAAAAACAGAGCTGTGTTCTCCTCATCCAACACAGGAAATGCAGATGCTGGTTTGCACGGTTCACTAAGGTTGAGCTGTGGAGAGACCAATTCAGATTGTTAGTTGTCTGCACCCCCAGATACTTAATGCTGTTGAACTACAGCTGCATCCTTGAAACCAAGTGGAATATGACTGTGATTCAGTCTTTCATTCTAATCTTAAAATTTGTGAACTAATTGCTGTTTTAAAAAAAACAAAATTAAAAAAATCAATTATTTTAATCGGATAATTTAGTATTCTTTTAAAGAGGTTAGAACTACAGCAACTGATAACACTACCCAATATATATAAGGTAAGGATTATGGTTCTCCCTCCATCTCCACCATACAGTTCCTATTTTTCCTCTTCATTTCTATAGTTTCAGAAGTTACTATCAATCAAAGATACAGATATGAGAGGTTTAGGTTCAAAATATAGTCAGGATTACACCATATTGCTCTTTGAAATCTTGTAATAAGCAGTGCAACGATCTATATTGATGAAAATGTAGTCCTCACATTCTCTCATTTCAATTCTTACTCTGTTGAGCAGCAAAGTATCTGAAGACACTTTTTAATTTTTAATTATATGAATGGGCATAAAGATCTTTATATTGCATGGACTGATTCCAATGACAGCTATAGATTACTCCATTAACAATAGAAATTCTACATCTCCTGTTTCATCTGTACTCCTTCTTTTGCAAGTATCTAGGAAGCGCTGAATATACAAGGATATTTGTGTGCAGGTAGTTATTGAGAGTGTAAGCATGATACTGTAGGTAGTTAACCTCAGCAAACCCCTGCTTATGGGAATAAGCAAGGCAATCTCATATCAAATCACTAGGACAGGAATTGCAGAATCCTTCTGTGCCTAAGAAAAACTGGTTTTTTGCACATTTTAGTTCATGGAACGAAATGGCTGATTTAATATTAATTCACTCTTCCAGCACTGAAATGAATCAATGACCAGTACTCTTCTTTCATGCCTTTCAGGAAATTGAAATTGTTATATTAAAAAGTATCTGCATGTGTATCGTGGGGCCTGATTACTTGAGGACAACCTGTCTCCCATAATATCTGCCCAATTTGTTCCTGCAGGGTTGGCACTCCAAGTTCCAACAATCAAACAGTGCCACCTATCAGGACCCCTGAAGTGCACCTTCTTGGTAACAACTCCTGTGCACTGGAATGAAATTTTTCTTTACATTCAAACATCTCCCATCCTATGGATTTTCAAAGGGCCTTAAAGATCTGGTGCATCTCACAAGTCTTTTGAGAAGACAATTGATTCCCCTTTCTTCCTTTCTCTTCCTCTCTACCAACAATATTTCATTGTCTTGTGCTGTTTTTGTCTTTTTTGTATTGTTCTATGTTTTTAACAGTTGTGAACTACCCATTTTATATTTTATCATATTAAATAACAAATGATCATGGGGCATAAATGCTATGGGAAGGAATGGACGGAGGAGGAGGAGGAAGAGGAGGAGGAGGAGGAAGAAACTGATGTTGCACCTTTTGTCAGTCTCCCATGAAAACCAGACAGGAAACAAAATGAGATGAGCTAATACTGCTTTATTATAAAGCCACATTTACAGATTCTTGCAAGTCTGAAAGTGCAAATCTCCTGCTTTCACTTTATCCCCTGATTAGTTAGACAGTTCCTTTCTAAGTTTCCTTCTCAGCCCATTACTCAGTTGTGAGTTTATTTCTCTTTAATATGATTGGTCTCTAGGCAGCATCTCTTCATCCCATCTTCCAAGGCCATCTCAAAAAAAAAAAAAAAAAAGGAAGAAAGAAAGAAAGAGATCTTTGGAGATCTATATATGCCTAGAGACTTCTGGGCTCACTTGTTGCTCTCCTGGTCAGTAGAACTTGTATAGTTCAAGACACCCATATATTGTGACGATGATTGAACTTTGTGATATAATCAAGGGTCATCCTTTGCCATATTTTAATTGACATTTCCCAAGAGAATGTGATTCTAGGGAGAGCATTGTGAAGTAATTATTCTTCCTTTTCCCGTCTGTGTTTTCACTCTAAGTGATGTAAATATATAATTTCATAGGATCCATTATCATTGCCTAGGAAACCATCTGCTATAGTAAAACTATGCAGTGGCACATGAAACTATCATGTGTTTCTGGGGTGAACAATTTTCCTACTAATATGAATGATATTCTTAAAGGTTTTCTGGCAACACTGCATTTACACCCAAAAATTCTAGTCTACATTTGTCATTTTTTTCAGCTTGAGTAGCAAGAAAAAAGGTTAGCTGAATGAATAAAATAAATACATAAGATTCCATTAACAAAATAGAACTTTAAAAGTGGGACTTATTCATTGAGGAAGACATTATAAATGTATTTTTGCTTATATTCTTTCTTCATTGAATCTTCTTTCTACTTTGAGCATACTTAAAACTTTCTCATAGGTAATTAATCAATCAGACCTAAAATCGGTCCAGAAAGTTTAACTAAATGACAAAATACAAGTCAAAATTTAAAAATAATTATGTAAATAAAAGGTAGTTATTCATTGTGGTTTGTTGACTACGTGGCATTTAAATTAATTTTCTTATGCAAAATACATCTTATTCCTTCAAAAAAGACATTTATGACTTCTTATTTCAGTGTAATCAAAATGATGACTTGCATTTAAATATTCAGTTTCCTAATAATTTAGCTTAATTTGACATCTCCTTCTAAGAAATATTATTTGTGAGAAAAGTGATTTCTGCTGAGAAATAGCAGTTACCTAGTGCTTTAACATTGATAATGACCTGGTGAATATTTGAAAGTTCTATTTATTTAATTAAAAAGTGATATGCTTTTAACATTAGATAAATGATGATGATGATGATGATGATGATGATGATAATGATGATATACAAAAGCTAAGACAACTTTTTATATTGATAATTATGTATTATTATTCCAAGAATTGGTAACCAATCATGGCCTTATCTTCCAAGAATTTAATCTTTTATTTTATTTATTGGTGCCTTCAAGACTGTGTTCACTTCTGGACAAGTCCCTGCAGTCTTCTTTGCATTGTTTTTCATACATAGTTTATCATTCCTTTCTACCTAAAGTTGACTGGCCCAATGTACCCAGCTGGATTTTTTGCCTAAGGAGAGCCTAGAAACCATACTCTCTCATTTTCTAGTCTGGATCCTTAGCCAATATACTAAACTAGCTCCTCAATTTGATCTAATTCCCTCTATCTGTTGTCTATTTGCTGTACAAGCAAATTCTATAGATTAACTGTTATATAAAGAAGCACTGACTTTTAAGTGATGTGAATCTCCAACTATTCACTGAATCCTAATATTGTCTCTACTTTCATCACAGCATGTTTAATAAAAACAACATTAAGCCATGAGAAATTTCAAAAGTACCCTAGAACTTTTTCTTCCTTGATTTTTGAAAGCAAGGTCTGGCCAATAATAATTAAGTGGTCTAAATCTCCTACCTCACACCTGATCACTGATAGAACCCTTTCACATCCAGATAGTTTTACTTTATGGTAATAGCCACTTGTCTCATCTTTTTATGAATAAATGGAAACTTTCTTCTTGCTCCCCTTTACAGACCTGACAAAAAAGACAGAACAACTTTCCCAGATGTGACAAAATAAGGTGACAATTTTCTCATGATTTTCTCTTTATTACATTTTGAATTTGCCTTCTTTCTTCAAGATTGAGCAAATTCAAAACAAAATAAAGAAAAACACACACATCCAGCTAGGAAGGAGTTTTTATCTGAGCAAAATAGTCTTCAGCTAGAATCAGTTATAGAAAAACAGTTTGCAAATGGGATGCATTAATAAAAACATACTAAATGCTATCCAGGCTATGTGCTTTAGCGGCTTTACTTTGTTTAGATAATAATATCCATTTTTGAAAAGTCTCAGGGCACATAATAGTATCAACATAAAATAAAGCAATAATCCAATCTCCTCCAAATAATTATATAAAGCACAGCAAAAAGAAACAAGCAAAACTTCTAGGAAATAAAAGAATCATGTGCCCATGAGCCCACTATCATTATGGCACACCTTCCTTTGTTCCAGGCAGAACAAACAGATCTTTAACATATTCTGGAAGCCCAAAAATGATGAAGCTGGCCAAATCTTAACTGGGAAGCAATTCCAAAGATCATTAATGTATATCAAAAGTTAGTGTGTATTGTGTATATTTTTAGACCACATTTAATTTGCCATCTAATTTGTCACATTTAATTTACTCTTAAATCCCAAAGATGCTTTTTTTTTATGAGGCAACTGGACTTTCTTGTTTTTCTTTGAAAATGTTTTGCTTCTCATCCAAGAAGTTTCTTCAGCTCTGACTGGATGGTGGGGAATGGAAAGATTTATACTCCTGCAGACAGCTCTTCATTTGCATTATTTTAGCGAGTCATTAATGCTACCTGGAGGTTTATCTGTGTCTTCAGAGTCACCTGGTATGCAAATGGGTGTGGAGCCTTCTTGAAACTGTTGAAAGGACTGTGTTGTAGACTGGAGATAAATGATGTTGTGTCCCTCCCACTCTGTTGAGAAAGGGCAGTTCAATTTTGTCATAGATAGTTTGACCCCTCTTTCAAACCAGCAGTCCTCTCTGTCCAAAATGTGGACTTTGCTGTCTTCAAAAGAGTGACCTTTTTTTTTTAATCCAGAAAGACTGCTGACTCTTGTACTGATGGGTTTGTTCTCCTATGTTGTGCCATACATTTATGAAGTTGTTGTTTTGTTTTCCCAATGTACAGATCTGTACGTGGCTCACTGCATTGTACTGCATATACCACATTGCTCAGTTTGTGTCTTGGTGTTTTATCCTTGGGTTAGACAAGCGTCTGCCTTAGTGAACACTGTTCCAGGAGACAATGCTTATTAATGAGCTATTTCACTATTTAGAGGATTACTGTCCCTCAAAACAAACAAACAAACAAAAAGATCTTACCCATATGACAAGGACCATAATGGAAGAGGAAGAAAAAGAGGTTTTTAAAGGCCAGAATGAAATAGTAACCCATAGATTGATTATTTTATATAGTTTG